TCCCTGCGACGCCATGTTTGCTGTCCGTACCGCGGCAATTGCTCTTCTGGGCCTTGCTCCTGCGTCGCTTGTTTTTTCTTCTCGCCGTTGCACGATGCCTTTGCCGGTGACCACGTCGTGCCTGCCTTCATTCTCAACGTGCAGCGGCTCCGGTTTGCTAACACGCTGGAGCTGCGGTTGTCATAAACGTATTGTACGAACGGCATTGTCCGAGACGTGCACCTCAAGGTCCTTATACACTTTTCCAGACATGATGAGAGTCGCATCGAAATTATCGCCAGTGGTTTGACATTGGGGGGAGTGCACAGCTTCCGGTTGACACAATGTTGATGTGCCATGAAGCAGGACCGCAAGCATGGCTGAGGCACGCCGGGCACATAGCTTGAGTTCGCTGTTGCCCATCCGCGGCGTGTTTTTGCTTGCTGGAGTGCCAACGCAGCCACCTTTTTCCGGCTGCCTGCACAGGCCCGGGTGCGAGCACCCCCTCGCAACGTGCAGCATGTGCCAGATCCGGAGTGTTGGCGTCCGGAGCTCTTCCGCTCGAGCATTCTGTCGCCCGCGTCTGCCGGAAAAGCGGCTGGCAACTGCTGGAGCTGCAACTTATGTGCACTGGGACCACGGTCATTGTTCGAAAAGATTCGCATGCAACACAAAAACCGGTGATGGTGCTGCCTTTGTTGGACGGGGTTTGGGTTTCCCCTGTCGCAACTGCCTGTTCCCTCGCGACCACCTTATGTCCCTCCCGTCTACCTTTGCGGCGATTCGCTTCTCTTGCGTGACATCCTCGCATGTTTTCGTTGACTCTTTTGAGGTGCCATTAGGTCGCAACTTCGCACTCCAACGGCCGCCGACTTCGATTGCTGCAAGGACGGCGAGCCTGCAGCGGCTAGACCTGCACGGCTCAGGTTGGGTGCGCTCTTGCAGCCAGCAGCGCGGCGCCAGTAATCGACCCCCGGCGGTGAGAGGGTACATCGCGCGAACAGCCCCAAAACGGCAGGCCGTCGGCAATGACCTTTGTGACGGCGGTCGTCATGGCGGACAAGGTTGACATGGAGGTCCCGCGTTGGGACATTGAGGGCAGCTGCTGCACCAGCCTCGCAGCAGATTCTTGTGGGCCGCCTGCAGCTTGAAGGGGGGCCACCCCTCGCTTTCAGCAGTTCTGAGCGCGGGCAGGCCGCGAGGTGGTCTCCACGGTGGTCGCGCAGCGCGCGGCACGAGCATCTGGCGGCAGTGAGCGGCAGCATGCGGCAGCGCCAAGAAGAATGCGAGGTCGAGGGAAGGGTCTTCCCCGGGCTGGGACACGTGTACAATTCTTTTTAAACGATGGCCACCAAAGATCGGCCGACAGATTGCACGGTGCAAAGCACACTCCGCTCCACCACCTTCGAAAGCTGCTGTTATTTGGGCGTTCACGTTCCGGTGGTCCGCGCTTTTCCTGCTTTCGCCGCAGAGCGCCCCTTCGCCGCACGCCTCCGGTGGCTTCCACCGTGAATGTATGTGAATGTCGATGGAGAGTTATCTCCGTTGAGCGAGATGCTCGCCGACTGCTTCACACTCTCTTCCCGTTAGTGGCCTCGTATGAGCGGCGCGCACGGTATGCCTGGCAGCCTGATGTAGCCTGCCCGTCGTCGGTGGCTTGTCCGATTTTCAGGCCTGCACCGGGACCGCATCGCACGCTGAACGGTGAATAAAGCGCGTGGAAAAAAGCTTCACATGATTCTCCTTAACATATCGTCCCAATTCGTAATGAGATTACCATACCTAGTGCGCAGTTCTGGGTTCTTCAGCTGCGCAGGCTGCGACTTCCCCGCCCTCTCGCGCCGCGCCGATGCCGCTGCCACGGTGAGCTTGACACGGTTGGCGACCACCGCTCAGCCTGCGCTACCTCCGGTCAGGCGCCTCCTTGCCATTTGCGCGCACAGAGGTACATCGATTGTGCGAGCCCTTGCGACAGCAGCGTGGGCCCGCTGATGGTGGAGCATGGCCGTCCAGCAAGCCGTCGGCCACACAGCGCTCGGGTGCCCGGGCCATGCCGGCATACCGATGTACCGGCCCTGGATGAAGTCTTGGACTTGGCCGATCCGGACGGGCCGAGTCGGCTGCCGCTGCTCCAACCGGGGACCCAATTTTTTACGTGGTGGATGTGGTGGAATAGGGTGTGTAGCAAAAAGCCAGCACGCGTGGAGGTCCCCTGGCGGCTTTTGCCGGCGACATCCGGCGACGCAGCAAGGCGATTTGCAATGTCGAAACGAGTCGAAACCGAATGCTTCGTGCCCCCGCCCAGATATACGTCGTCCTCGCCCTTGGCTGGGAAGCGCACGTTTCGTCTTCTGAACTGGCGCAGCCGCAGTGAGCATCTCACGGTTTTCTTGGCGTAGTCTTTTCCAACCAACTGCAGCCATAGTGTGCACCTGGCAACTTCTGGAATCGGCATCAGCCGTTGTGAGCGCCCAACGACCTTTTATGTTAGTACGAATTGCAGCCGCAGTGAATGCTTGAACAGCATCTGGTGTATTTTAGTAACTGGTCGCACAAAGTGTGCGTGAAAAACAATGTGTATTCGTTTTGAGCCAGCTGCAGAACAACTTCTTTGAGCCAGCTGCACCTGGCGACTTGAGTGCCTGGCAACGTTTTGTGTCTTTTCCTCGTTACCGGCTGCAGCCACAGTGAAGGCTTCGAAGACCCCCCCTGGACTCCACTTCTTATAGCGGGCACCTGACGAACAAAGGGCGTCTCTTCTTGAACCAGGTGTGACACAGTGAGCCTTGGAAGGTTAGCTGGCGCTGGACTGGTACCGAAGCCTGCGGCCCTTTGCCTCAACGCCTGTATATCTCCAGAATGAAGTGCCTCATGTGTACAATGCACCCAGCAACTTCGCAGCTTCGGGGGTGCGAGAGGGAAAATATTTCGCCTTGCGGCAAAGCAGGAGTTCCCGAGGGCTATGGGTGCGAAACCGCAGTGACGCTGTCCTACACACTGAGCGCCAGCCGCCATGCAATGCCACGCCTGTCATACCTCATCCGGCGGAGAGCGCAAGCGCCGATTGCTGTGGAAAAGGCCGCACCTGGCTTCACGCCGCAGCGAGGACGTTGCTAGACGCTGCTGTCGAGGCTGTGGCCGAGCACGTGGCATCGGGTGTAATTTGGACAAATGCAAGAACAACAAGTGCTTGCAAGGAGCTCTCGGCCACGAAGTGTGGAGAGGTGACCTCCGCTGGGATCCTTGTTTAATTATTCTGGGGGCCCTCAGAGTTCTGGAATAATATTCAAATTCTGGGAATAATTCACTGTTTGTTTCTAGTGCTGGGGGGGGGCTTGAACAGGAAGGCTTTCCGGTGATGCAGGGGGGTCGGAGATTGCAAGAGTTCAATTCAACACGCACACGCACACACACACACACACACGCACACACGCTCTCTCTCTCACTCTCTTTCTTCTGCTCTGTTCGCATTGGCCTCGCAGGCATTTTGCCGAGAGCCGAGGGTCGCAAGCAAGATCAGCCAGGTCGCAAGGCATTTCAGATTTCCAATCGTGCGGAGAGGCTTGCATCATGATGGAAACATCCAGGAAAAATCTGCATAGGAACCATGTACCCTAGCAACATGTCTTCTGGATGGCGGGTCAAGTGGAAGACTCGCGGAAAAGGGCAGCGGTGGCGATTGCCGGGGCCTCTGGCACTCTTGTGTTTGACTCCCTGGGGTTAGTTGGCTCTGTGTCCTTGTCCCCTCTAAGATTACTACCACTTTGTTCATGCGGACGGCACTTCGAGTGTTCGGTTCGACAGCCTCACCAAGGCTCGAACGCAGCATGTCGTGAACATTATCCGGGGGTTTCGTCCGGCCGCAGGGGAACCATTGGGCCTCGGAGAACCATGTACAGGGGGCCCGGCACTCACATTCGGATACGGTTTTGTGTTATCTCTTGGCGCTCGGATTGCTGAGATTCTCGTTGAACTTCGTCCTATGGCAAAGTCTCGGCCCGATGCGTGGGTGGGCACCTGAGTCTGTAGCGACTTCCAACATCCACGAAACAGACTCCGATTTGCATCAGGTCAGCTCCGACGACCTTTCGACGCCGGTGCGGGACACAGTGCCGGGGTCGTCGCTGGGCTACGTGTGCAGGGGGTTGGCTTGCTTTTATTGCTTTTGGTCCACTGACGCATTTCCTTGTGGTGAGGCCGCGGAGGCTCCCGAGGAACGGCAGTCGGAGGCAGGCCACACCTGTTTGAGGATGCTGGGCCCACCTGATCTTGCGGGCGCACGCCTGGGAGAAGAACTTCACCTTCGAACCAAGCCTCACCACGGAAGCCAGCATCGAACAATTTTTTGGGCAAGTCAAACACGTGAACCGCGGACAGGCAGGAGCACCGACGGTTGCAAGCAGCATCCTCGCCACACAGTTGGTGCATGTCCGGAAAACCTGCACACCTCTGGCCCCTTTGTCTCGTCATGTGCTTCCAGTTAATATGGGGGGGGGGGACGGGTCGTGTGTCTGTCTACAGGCAAGCTCGACTCGCAAAGTGGAGACCCCGCCTGACATCCCCGTTTTGGCAGATCGTGCATTGCGAGGATTCGCTGGCACGAAGCCCATTGTCAGCCTGTTAAACTCTGCGCAGCCTTTCTGCCGCGGTGGTCGTCAGGAGCTTGCCAGCTGGCAAGTTTGTGCACCGTGGGCCGCTCAGCTGGCGACTTGCAGAAGCAGTTGGCAGATTGGTGGCAGCAGGCACGGAACTTTTGTCCCTGCCCATGCTCCTTCTGCGTTTTTTTTTTTCTTGCGCCCTGCCAGGAGGGCCAGCAGCACTTATTTCCGCATGCGGCGCAGAACCCGGATGAGGCCGAGGCCCAGTATGTGGACGAGACCTTCACAGACGAGGAGGACGAGGAGAATTTAGCGGCTCAGGCAGCGCAAGATGCGGACAAGAAGGAGGGGGAAGATGCCGCCTTCCGTAGCTGCGTCGAGGACGCGGAGGTGGACGAGAAGCTCTGCCGGCAGCTGCTGGAGATGCAGCGGGACCCTGAAGCTGTGCCTTCTTTCGTCCGCGAGGCTGCCGGTGACAGTGACGAGGCTGATGACAGTCCCGACGCTGAAGAACCTCCGGCCAAGCGGTGCAAAGATCAGGGCATCACAACCTTGCTGCATGTGTTGGCCGCCGCCGACCTGTGCGACTTCCGACCCGCAGATGACTGCCCTCGCAAGCTCTTCGCTCGTTTGCGGGCACTCCACCCGCACATGGCCAGTCTGAATCGTCGAGTCCGCCTCGCGGAGAGGCTCCTGTCGGCCCCGCTTATAAACGGGAAGATGCGGTCCCCGCGCGATCAGGTGCGGTGGGAACACTTGTTGGCCAAAGCTCGAGCCGCACTCCTGCTGTTTGCGGCAAACCAGACACGACACCAGCTGTGGGCGGACTACTCCAGCAGATGTGTGCAGGCCGCCTCCGTTAAAAAGGCGGACCCGGGTGTGGAGCTGACCGGAGCCACGCCGCCAGTGGAGCTGCGACCCTGGGACCCAGTTGTGCAGGTGGTGGCTTGTCGGCCACTGGTCGCTGCAATGGGGGCGCTCAACGGAATGCGGCTGGCTGTGGTTGTTGCCAGCTGGCGTGCAGCGCGTGGCAATGGCAAGAAGGCCTTGAACGGTAAAGGTGCCCTGCCCATCACGGCGGCCAGCTGCTTGCATGTCGTTCTTTTGGAGCCCGAGCAGTTTCAGAAAGAGCCTTATGTGTTCTCCGCTTCGCGACTTGTCGGGATGTTTGTCGAAGTGTGCCAGTGTCAGTCTCCAGAGCGCATGTGCACAGTTGCCGCGATACCCTGCGCATGTTCAGGACATTGAGCCCGGTCTTCTGCATAGAGGCGCACAGCGGATCGCTGCTGTACGAGGTACCTGCCGAAGCCATGCAAGTCAAGCAGGGGCAGAATCATGTGTACATCGGGCTGAACCAAGCCGCCTTCGACGCGTACGTGGCAATCGCCAACGCACAGGTTGCCCTCGATCCTTCGAAGCCCGACAGGAAATCATGTCCGCAAGGCCCTACCGTGTATTATGTGGCCGACGACTTCAAGAATTCCGCTTCTGGTCGCAGCAACATGAAATCGTATGCCGTCCTCATGCTGCAGGATTACGAGCGCTTGTTCCAGCCTATCCGGGACGAGCAAGGGCACATCCGCCTAGATGATATCCAGCAGCTTGGCCACGAAGTCGGCTCCAAAGGTCCACAGGGGCGGTTTTTGGCAGGGGGGGAACAAACCCACGCTTTCGGCTCGAAAAGGGCGGTTTGTGGCACAAGGACAAACCCACGATCTCGGCTCGAAAAGGGCGGTTTGTGGCACAAGGACAAACCCACGATCTCGGCTCGAAAAGGGCGGTTTGTGGCGGGGCCCGAGTGGCGGGGGGAACGGGTCACCCTTTCCTGTGGCCCATGAACTTGGCGGGGGGGGAACGGGCAAAACCAAGGCTGCCGTGGGAGGCCTTGCTGGCGCGCTTGCCGGGCTACTTCGCAACGCGGTGCGTGAAGAACACCGCTCACTGGAAGAGCTTCAGCACAGAGCAACGTGCCAAAGGGTTTCTCGGCGTCGTCTCTGCCTGCAGTGCTGGAAGTCTTTGTGCCGAGCCCATGTTCGAATTTCGAATTTGTGGAACTCTTGTTGTAAAGACAATCCACACAAGGTTCCCGCAGCTTGTGCTGGAAGAGCTCCTGTCGATGAGCCCGAAGCCGGAGCAGTCGCCGAAGCGCTTTGTCAGCTGGTTGCGGAGCGTGCACTTCTCGGCGCCGGGCGCCGTGATGGTTGCAGTGGGCTGAGCCTCGGGGTTCCGCAGATTCCCGAAGACTGTTGCTTATCGTAGGTTCCTCACGGGGCGGGTGGATTGCCAGTGCTTGCGACAACTTGCTAGCAAATAGGCGTCTAACCGAAGGTCCGTGTAAAATGAAAACGGCAAGCCGGCGCAATCCGATCCAGCAGGGGTAGGTGTTCGCAGCCAGGGGAGCTCCAGCTGCACAGCGGGCGCCGTGGAAAAAAGAGCGCGATTCTGAGGCGAAGCATCTCATGTCCCAGGCTTCGAGTTGAGCAAAATCCGCAGAAGTGCAGCTAGTATGCGGCCGCTGTTGTCGGAGATGTGTTTCCTATCCAAGACCATGCATACATTCAAACCCCTCTATGCCTGAGCCCAAGGCCCAGAATCTCCTTGGCACTCCCAGAGTGACCACACTTTTGTCCATGCTTTGGTTTCTCCATCCCTGTCTCTTCCTCTGAACTCGAGGATGTCTCGGAATAATTTTGCATGTACCCAGGGGCAGCTAGCCTGCCGGAAATTATTCCGGGAACTCGCCAACATGTGGAATAATTTCCGGACCGTGATCGAAACCTATGTTTCTATTATTCTGCAGGGGGGGGGGGTTGGGGGGCCTAGTAACACACCCCGCATTCCGCTCCGATCATTGCGGCATTGGTGTTTCGGGCAGCCCAGTCGCGCACCCGGACTTCGCCCAAACCTGGGGTGCCTAGAGCAAGAAGGGTGGGTATCCTTTTTCAGGTGCCGATAGCCTCCCGACCTGCAATGCGAGCCATGCCTTAGACACAGGAAGAGATCCTCGCATGCACCCTCGACTCTATGATCGAGCCATTCACGACATGCCAAGTGGGCGTAGCTCAAGACAACGGAGCGATTCCAAATCTGCTGGTTTTGATGGGCTTTCTATTAACCTCGTGGTTCCCGCATGGTTGTTGAGGGCATGTCGTGGAGCCTCGTTGATCCGGATACGTGGACTGTCGGTTGGGATGAAGGCACACCAATTTAGTTCGTTTGAGTTCGCCCCCTTGGACGCCATGCGCTCCCAAACCCCGTGTCCCTCGGGTATATCCCAGCAAAAAACATATATGGGACCGGGCACGCATCCGCCTGCATCAGGGCAAGACTCGGATCTGGAATGCCGCCGGGGAGGAACCCCCAAACATTGGCGACCTTGCAGGACATGAGGAGAGCGTATGGGTCGGTGACTGGACTCTCCCGCCCGAAGCCCAAGGCCTCACAGTGCTCGGCTCCCCGCTCGGGCACGATGCGTTCGTCGCGCGCCAACTTCGGCGTAAGCGCGACGACCAGGACCGGCTCCTCGAACGCATTCCTGCCGTCGATGACTTGCAGGCAGGGTGGCTCCTCCTGCGCTCCTGCGCCGCCACGCGCGCGAACTACCTTTTGCGCATCCTCCCCCCCCACCTCACCGCCGAGTATGCAGCGGAGCATGACGCAGCCGTCGCCCGGTGCCTCACCACGCTGCTGGAACACGGGGACGCCCCCCTGCCGCCCAGCAGCCTTGCCACCGCCCAACTTGCCCAGCGGTTCGGGGGGCTCGGTCTCCGCTCCGCCTCCTCCGACCGCTTCGCTGCGCACTGGGCTTCTTGGTGCGACACGCTGCCTGTGATCCAAGCCAGAGCCCCCGCAGCAGCCGCCCGTCTCCGCGCCGCCTTGCAAGGCGACGGAGCCTTGCCTTCCACGGCCGCGGCGACGCAAGCCCAAGCACACTTGCGTGACCTTGGGTACGAAGCACCGGACTGGGCAGTCATCTCCTCCGGTGCCGCCGCGCCCCCCGCACCAGACCGAGCTGAAGACCCGTGGCCGTTCAAGGGCTGGCAGCGTTCGGCTGCCCGTGCATGCGATCAGCGCGCGTACGAGACGCATCTTTCTCACCTCACCTCTGCGTCCCGTGCGCTGCTGCTGTCCCAAGCCGGGCCCTTCGCCTCCCGCGCCCTGAACCTCATGCCCACCCGCGAGGATGCTGCGATCCCCAGTGCGCAGTTCCGGGTCCTTTTGCTGCGGCGCTTGCGCATGCCCCTCCCGCTTGCACCGCGCAGGTGCAGCTGCCACGGGGAACTCGACCCTCTTGGTGACCACCGCACGGCCTGCGCCACCTCGGGCGTTCTGTCCACTCGCGCGCTGCCCCTCGAGCACGCCGTCGCGCGGGTATGCCGTGAAGCTGGCGCCAGAGTGGCACGCCACGTCAAGCTCGCGGACATGAACCTGGATGTGCCTGTCTCCGATGAGCGGCGCATCGAGGTCGTCGCCAATGGCCTCCCCCTTTGGCACGGCTCGCAGCTTGCGCTTGATGCCACCATCGTTTCTCCCCTCACCAGGCGCGGCGAAGCCCACCCGCGCGCCGACGTGCAACCGGGCTGCGCGGTCGCTGCCGCCGCACGGCGCAAGCGCTTCCAGACCTACCCGGAACTTGAGAGCGCACGCCGCTGTCGACTTGTCGTGGTTGGTGTCGAGGTCGGCGGCAGGTTCGGCGCCGAAGCCGTTCAGCTCCTGCGCCTCCTCGCCCGCCACCGCGCAGCGTCGGTCCCCGCCCATATGTATGCGGCCCGCCGCCGTCTCGTCTTGGGTCGCCCGATGGTCCGGTATGCTCGCGGTCGCGGCTCAGCGCGCCTACGCGGCGACGCTCCTCGAGCTGCCCCCGGCTGCCGAGTTGGGTGAAGGACCCATGCCCGACTTGCACGAGGTCCTCGCCGACGCGCGCTGGGACTAAAACGGTCTCGCGCGAAGCAGGCATGTAGGCCGCCGTTGCACTGGGACCGCGCTCGTACTGGTTGCAAAATAGTGCGCGAAAAAAAAAAAACATATATCCCAGACATTACCCAGGCTAAAACTCAGCGTTTGGGTCGCGCACCCTGCTTGCACTTTGAGGCACAGTTGGAGCTCTTTCACAGTTACCTCCACGGTCGCATGGCACCGGGCCGAATCTGATGTGCTCCTTTCCGCCTGCATGTCGCTAGCATGCCGTGCCTCTTCCTGCTCCGGTGCCGGGCCATGGCAACACTCACCGGGCCTGCGCGGCCTTGGGCCGCCGCGCCACATCCCCGCGCCTGTTCTCAGTGCGGCCTGATCAAGCAGAACGCGAATCGGCACGGGAGGAATTGCCTGATTCACCCACTCCCGCGCCATAGGCTCCCCGGCAGCGGATTGGTTGTGCCTGCGTTGTGATGCCTCGCTTGATCCTCTGACATGGTTGCGGAAGTGCGTAGCCCACTTCTCTGCCCAGCACGTGGCCCCTTCACCTTCGCGTCGACCTGCGAGGCTCGCCACCTCAAATTGTGCATGCATGTGCGGCACAGCGCCTTCCTGTTGCCAACCGAGAGTCCGATGCGCTGAGCCAGAGTGCGGCCATAACAGCAGCGCCAGTGATTGGGAGGCGACAACCGGAACAAAGTGCCTGGCATCGTCGAGGGCATCATAGCGTCACGAAGATGTCGAGCGCGCGTGGGGAGCGTCTGCCCTCAGAGCGACCTGTCAATCAGCCGTGCTCCTTGCAATCACACCTTGGCCCTGCTTGGAGCGGCGCCGTCGCACCCTTGCACAACGTTGCCAGCGGCATTTCGCCAGCTCCTTAAATCGAAGAAAAGCAACATCATTCTTCCCCCTGTTGGCATGCACCTGTGCCGCCATGCAGTTGCATTTGCGCAACCAGCTCTGGTCCCGGCTCTGCATGTGCCCCTTGCGGTCGCTCGTTGGCAGCAGTCGCTGCGCAGCTTGTGTTCCGCCACCGCCTGCACATGCATTTGCCTAGACGGGTGGAGTGCCTACGGCCTGCGACGCCAAGTCTCGTTTTTTTTTTTTTTTCCTTCAAGTCGTTTTATGGACGACTGCAGAAGGAGAAGTCCAGGTCTCTGTGCCACCTGCGCGCTACGGGCCAACGAGGCTTGGGGTAGGAGGCACTGCTTCGCGCAGTACGTCCTCCAGCGGTGGGAGCTGGGCACCAGGCAATGCACCCGCGATGTACGGCGCTCCGAGCAGCGTAACAGCAAGTGGGCTTTGCAAAGCCGCTCAAGCAACCCCACCAGCGGCGCAGCCAACCCTGCCTGGCCGCGGGACGCAGGGCGGCGGGGGCGCGTCGGCGCGTTGGGCTCAGAGGCGCACGAGTTGGGTGACCACACGAAGCGACCCAGAACTCCAGCGCCCTCGTTTCCTCGACGATGCCGGAATTGGTCTCCTTCGCGAATCCCGTTTACGGGAAACCTTCTTTGACTGCTGGGGGATGCCCAAAACTTGTTCTGCAGCATCCATCAGGGAGGGTGTGAGCAAAACAACCAGCACGAAACCTTTTGGAATGCGGCCTGCACCTCCATCCCTGCAACAGCGTGTTGGCGGCCGCCCAGCAACCACCGGCAGTGGTCTCGGTAAGTTTGCCGCCGCTTGCGCAAGGTTGCGTTTTTGTTTTTCAGATGGTCCCAGTGCAGGTCGGCTGCACCGAATATTTGGCTCCAGGATTCTGTCATGCTTTCTTGCTGCGGAGGTTCTTCACAGAAAGAGGAGTAGTGGGACCGTGCTCAGAGTGCCTTCGAGAACGTAGCCATGGAGCGCCATTGCGGTCAGGTCAAAGCCTCGTGTTGAGACACATGGGCATGAAAAGCCACTCAACCGTTTCGCTGATGTGGCATATGTGTGAAATTATGCGTGGGCACTTTGTGCCGCCAAACTGTTGGAGCTTGGTTCCATAAGGTCTCTAAACTAAGCCGGTCGCCGCATATATCCAGAGCCATGCGAAAAACTTCTGAAAGCCATGTTTGTTTGGGTCTACCCCGCTTCCGAAGTCCATCATGCCATCGCGGCTGAAACGTCCCATCATGGAAAATACATGTTCGCATGACATCCTCCCGTGGAAGTTGCGCGATGCGCCCCAAAAGTAGCAGCTGTCGGCGCCAAAGAATGATTGAAAGTTTCTCAGTGCCAGCTTCTTGTAACACAGTGTCGTTGCGCACGCGGCTGATGAATGAGTGTGGTATGCCAAGGATGGAACGAAGGCAACGGGCT